CATTTTGGCAGCACCCGCGCGTGCAATCAGAGAGCAGTGTGCTGATTGCGATGGCCTGGTTGAATTCGACCTTGTCGCCACTGTAACACCATTGACATAACTAAAATAAGCAACCAACCAAGCTCAGGCACATTGACTTCGACGATGGCCGCAAGTGTCTCCAGCGATTTGCAGACATACCTGAGATGAGGTTGCTCTGTAGAATGGAGGAATGATGAAGAAGCACAAGCTGCTGTCTGTTGACATTAGCCTGTCCAACAAATCGGTGTGCCTTGTTTTGATGTATTCCTTGTTGGCTAGGTTTAAAGGGACACTAGTGGAAAGTACCCATACTAGGGGGTACCTCAAAAAGGACAAGCCGTGCAATGCAAGCGATCAATATCTGAGGAGCATGGGTGGAACAAGTCCCTTGTTGCTTGACTCATCGAAAGAATGAATCGCCAAGCAGGCTGCCTAGATGCATTTACTTGCCATGGACAGGACTCACCTATAAACAAAGGAAAGAACGTCTCTGCACTCATGCTGGTCTCAACTTGGCCGTCTTTTTTTGGAGTTTCTACCCCTTTTTGTCTGGTTCAAAAAGAGAAACCAAAAGGAACACCACCATTTTGGAGGGTCCGATTCCTACAGACACGCCAGGCCCGCCTGACATAACTCTGGGCGTCTCCGGCCAGGCGTTTTGGATCTCCTTGGATGCGGAAGGTTAAATTCAAGAAGCTCATGCTTCCTTCTTCAGGAACCCCTTGGTAGCTTCGATTGATGGCTTGGATTTGGATTTGGATTTGAACAGGTCACGGGAAACCATCAACCTCCAAACCACCAATCCAAACCACCAATCAAAGGGAAGTTGACTTCTGGATCCTACGCAAACTGGCAAACAGGCTCTGTGAACTCTCCGCCCATTTCGAGCTTGGATGGTTGAGATAGATCCAGTTTTGGGGGCCTTTCCTGACTGGTGTGCCTTCTGCCGTGGGCCCCCAAGGTAGCAGCAAGGCAGCTGGCTGAATTTGTCTGCAACCTATGCCTTTCCTTTCGCAAAAGAAAGAAACGGGGAGTGGCCAAACTCTGGACTTTCCCGTAAGGCTCCCTTTTTTCGGGGACACTCCAAAACAGGCACCCAAAAGGAACCCTATTAGCCCCTACTGGGCGTCGCTACTAGCCCCATTTGGGGATTGGGGGGCCCTGTTGGGAGGCCCTTCAAGGTGGTATATTAGATGCCCTCGTTGCAAGCAGCTATTGCTGCTTCAAAGCACCAGCCATTTTGGTGGTCTTCCAACCCCCAAATCAGAGCTCAGCCAAGCGACGCCCTGGATGCTGGGCCGAGGCGTTTTCCTGCAGGGGTGGGGTTCTCTGGGTTCTCCCTTTGTGGAGCCCAAAGATTCGTTGAGAAAAAGAGTCCACACCAGCCAGGTTCCATAGTCTCAGGGTATTGCAAGTACTCCAACTGCAACCAGCAAATTGATCGCAGTGGTCGGACATCTTGCCTTGTTTCCGCCTGCATTCTTCACCCACTCCCTGACTTCCTAATCCTCACTCAACTGAGCCTTGACTCCTTCAAAACATATGGAGGTTGGACCGTGGCAATGATAGGAAGCAAGCGTGCTGCGCCCGAATGCGAAGTGTCTTACTTCATTAATTACTGCTGAATCCGATCAACATAGCACGTTTTATTCTTCCAAAACAATCAGGCACAAAGCAATCCTCACATTTTACCTGGTGCATCGTTTCAAGCCGACCCCCCAAGTGGCAAATCAAACTTCACGTCACTAAGCCGACCAGCGGCCCAAACTTGCTTGAGGCAGTTTGTCTTAAACAAAAGTGAACCCCAGGAGAAAATACGCACTTCCCGAGTGGATGGCTCCAAAAAAGTAACCACGCTGTTTATTCACCGCTAAAATGGTTTTCCCAAAACGCTTTAAGTGCAGGAACGCAGGAGTGAGAGAATGGTGCTTGGTCCCTTTGGCTTGCCTTTAAAAACGACCGCACCCATCGGCCTGAACTCGTTCATCTCCAGACGGGCCAAATTGCCCGGCCGCTCCAGCCGTTCCTGCACCATGTTTGGCTCTCCCCACATGGGACAGTTCAGGCGATTGGGGTGCTGGGGCTGCGATGCAGGTGCCATGACAGGCTTTGCTGGGCCAAGAAACTTCTGGGCCAATGTGACCGATGTGCACAGGGTCACTTGCTGCGATTGTCATGTTAGTAGCCACGCATGCAGGAAATCGCATCTTATTGAGTGGCAGGCAGTGCCAATAAGCTGCGGAGCGTCTCGCATCAACGCGCAACAATGATGACAACTTGCCCGAAGAAAGAAAACAATCGGCGGTCAAACACGCCCAAGAGGTTTCCCATGGGGCTCAAACAAATGCTGCGTACTGCTGCTGTCTTGCCGTTGCGCAGGACACCCTGCGAAACGCTACCTTGTTTGTCTCGACAGCGAAGGCTCCGTGCCCATGAACTCGCATAAGCAAAGCGAAACAAGATAGACAACACCTTGTTGGATTTACATCAGGGTTGCTCGAGCCAAACAAGTGCTCGAGCCAGAGGAGTTGGAGGTAAAGGAGTCTACGAAGAGTCAAACAAAGCAATTTCTTGACAGTCACCACAATCGAACCACAGCCGCGCCCTGAATCCTGACGGTCTTTCCCTGATTCGGTGCGCATGCGAAGCCGAAGCCGCATTGAGCGCTTTGCTGCAACCGCACTTCGGTGAGGATCGCCCACCCTTGAGGGATGGTGGCCTGCGCCCCTGCCCTTTGGGAATGGAAACCAGCATGCGCATGCTCCCAGGAAAATTGTGAATCCAGGCCAAACTAGTTAGTCCTCCAGGGCATGCTACCACCCAAGGACATGATACCACTTGCAAATATTGTCGCGTTCATATTTATACGTAATGCTGAATGATGTATGCCAACTCCTTTTCTTTGCGCAAAGTTGTGCAACAGATCGTCCAAAGGTATCCGGAAATACAAATTGCAAACACATATGCGTTATAGGTCGATCCTGCTCTCCTGGCAAACAAATCCAATGCTGTATCATTGACCTGTGATCCTGATCCAAGGGATGACAATCTAATGTCAACCTCAGATTACACCGGAAGGACCATACTAATCCGACGAGGTCCCTGTGCAAATGGGGGATCGAACATTTTAGGGAATTCCTCGACCTCGTTCGTCCTCCAGATCAATCCAAAGGCAAAGTTGAATTGACACTTATTTCGCCAGCAACGGAGCCACTAGCATCTGAGACCTCTTTATGGTTGGCATGTGCTCGCAACACATCGCGAGCAATGCATTCTCTGAACTCATCCGTGATGTAAGTGTCCAGGCGCTGTGGTACAGGAACGTCAGGAAGATGTGCCGCTTGCGCAAGCAAAACATACGAGAACCTTGCATTCCGGGCCATTCTGGGGGGAAGATTGGGCCGTCTCCACCTCAAGGGGATGCACCAAACCGAATTCCTGCGCCCGGTCGAATGATCCGACCGGATGGGCGCCGGGCAACGTATCAAGCCCCTGGGGGAGATTACCGCAGCAAACGGAACGCAGCTTCGAGCTGGAGATTCCTCGCAAGCCAAACGTCCGTTCACCGAAGCAAAGCCCATGCCTTTCATAAGTACTCTATGGGTCAAAGCATTGGATGGTGGTTTTGACAGCCAGCAACGAACCAGCAAGTAAAGCAATTATTGTTTCTCAAGATAATGGCCACCTGCTCATGAAGCAGTGCACTTTCCACATCTAAAATTATGCTGTTTGTTGGCTGCATTACCCATCTGAGCCACAGTCAAATTCCGGCGTCAAAATGATTGTCAACACGTATCAAACAAGACAAACAGTTTGCCACGCCAAGAAGTTTATGCTGACTGTCCCTTAACCTGAAACCTTCCATTACTCAGGCTCTGATTCTGGCTTTTGACAAGGGTCACTTAATTTCCCCTAAAGTTCATCAATGTTTGGGTGGTTCCAACGAAGGAATGGCTCGGAAACCCGCTTTTTACTGATGGTTTCCATATCCTCACCACTTTGGGTTCCAAAGAAAAACATGGCTCGTTGAAATACGATCCTGCAAATCTAATCAACCTCCACTTTGGATAGTTCCAAAGCAGGAACTGGAAGAAACCAGAAGGAAATGGCTCGGCAGCCCTGTTGGATCTTTGGATCTATCAGCCCGGTGGAAGCCCCCGGGCCCTGTACAAGCCGAAGCTGAAGTCGCTTTGGCGACCACGCAACGCTCAATTTCCGAATTCGGTGCAGGGATCCATGGCGAAGTCCATCTGGGATTCGTGAAAAAACGATTCAGAACGTGGCGGCGCATCCAAGGGATTCACCCCCAAAAAATGGCCCCTTCCTGTTGGTTTTTGTTTAAACCAAGCCGTACCATCAAGAAAACAAACACGCGCACAGAAGTATGGGAAGACTCTGCAAGGTTCTGGAACCTTCGTTTCTCGCAGTCCCTAAATCCCAGCACTGGAAGGCAAACACCAGTGGCATCTCTCGTCGTTTGAGCCCTGGCTCACTGGTTTCACCTGCACCACCATAACGCCTGCACCTGCGCGATTGCACGAAAAACCAGGCCGTAGCAACATAGACGTTTGGAAGTCTTGCTGATTGGCACCCATGGTGTGAAGCCAATGGCGTAGCAGTGCTTGCAGGGTTGGTAGGTCAATTAAAAATTCTTGCAAACAGCTATTGTGTTCGGCGGATTTGCTTTCCATTGCTGTCTTTGGGCACTTGTGACATACTCATTGAAAGACATCCTCAAAGCTATGCACGTGTGAACGGCTGGTGAGCTCTCCTGCCACGAGTCACATTCCGCTGTAACATGACATCCTTGTGCCGCCTTTGAGAACGCTTCATCGGCGATGGGTACCCATTGCGGGGCTCGGCGTAACAAAAGCAATCAATGGCTTGTAGAAGTCACCTGATAGCGCCTAGACAAACTGGCGAGACCTGTCGCGCTCACACTCTGGAGGCACCCGTGAAACGTCCTCTGGATTTGCATGTCAACCTCCTGGATCCTGCACGGGATCATTTGACAAAACCGGTGCCCCCCAATTTCATCGCGTGAGCATTTCGCAAAATGGTTGAGCCTCGCTTGGTTGGTCAAAGGGCAACCAAAAGGAAAGCAACCATGTTTGGGGCCCACTATTTTGAGAAATGCTCACTTAAAAAGGGGGGCAGGAAAGATTGAGCACGCCTAAGAGAGGGAGGGGTAGTTTAGGGTGGGTGTTGTGGGTTTGAAGGCTCATGGTTTCGGCTGCGCAGTCGGACTCTGGTTCCAGTCGCATTGGAAGCAAATGGGTGCAGGTGTGCGTTGGGTGTAACGCCGCTTTAGTGTCGATGCAGGGTGTTCGAGTAGGGTTGGCTTGGGCTCGGGGTGGTTAAGGGGTAGGTTTTGCGTTGACTTGGTTTGGGCGTGGGGTGGGCTTGAAATTGGTGTAGGGTGGGTTTGGCTGGATTTTGAGTTAGTTTGGGATGTGTTTGGTGTGTTGCGTGTTAGTTTTGGACGGTTTAGATTGGGATCTGGGTGGTTTAGGTTGCTCGTGGATGAAAGGTTGACTCAGGGTGTGTGCGCCTCTGTGTAGACTGGCTTAGGTTGGGTTGAGGATTGGTGTCAGCTTGAATTCTGGCAAGTTTCATTTGGGGTCGCGATAGGGTTGGACGGGTGGGTCTGGGATTGATTTAGGGTTTAGCTTGGCTTTCGCAGGAATGCAGAAATACAAGTATGCCTGTGTGCATGTATGCCTGCATGCGTGTATGCATATATGCCTGCATGCATGTATGCCTGTATGCTTGCATGCCTGTATGCATGTATGCCTGCATGCATGTATGCATGTATGCCTGCATGCCTGCATGCATGTATGCATGTATGCATGGACGCATGGGTGCACATGGACGCATGGATGCATGCAAGTGCGTGCATGCGTGCATGCGTGCATGCGTGCATGCATGCATGTGTGCATGTAGGTATGTAGGTATGTATGCAGGTATGTAGGTATGTACGTAGCAGTCCGGCCCTACCCCTCCCCAGCCATCCCCCCTGTGGAATGGCCAGGGTAGTTGGAGGTAGTTTAGGGTTCATTCAGGTTGGTTTGGGCAATCTTGAAGGGTTGATGGGATGGGTTGTGGAGTGGTTTGCTTGCCTTTAGTTTGGTCTTGGCTTGCTCACGTTACCGATGGGATTCGGGTAACCCCAGACCCTTGGGGCTGATGTGATGGGACTAGGTGCCGGTCCCCATAACCATATGATATGGGTCAAAATTAATTCAGGGAGCCACAGGCTTAAGTCCTTTCCATTTACCAGAACAACCCTTTTTGGGTACATGTTGTTTGACTTTTTTTGGCTGGATCTTGCCGCCCAATACTGCCGTGATCTTCCAAACTTCACGGCACATCCCACGGAAGTCCAAGCAAGTTTAAAGCGGCCGCGTGAAACAACTGCTTACTGCCTACAAATCGTAGGAAACTGCTCAGCTGAGTTGGGCAGGCTTGAAGAGAATGCTGAGCAATTGGATCTTCATTATTGCATGCATCTGCATTTTACATGCAGTGTACAGTGTATACCTTGCATATCCTCCAGTTATTGAACATTCCGTTTAAATCCAGCAAGGGAAAACACAACATATTCTGAAGCCAATGGAAGACATGCATTAAAACAAGAAAACGGCTCTGCACGGTCCGCTGGGTGAGCCATGCAACCACATGGCTCTCCGCGCCTCTTTGCTGGGCACTGCGAAGTGCTTACCGCAGTGCGGACAACACTTCGCCACTGCAATAGGCACCTGGCCGGTCCAAATGACCCGGGTCCAAGGCAAGGCAAATGGGCTGGTTTAGGGCTCGTGAGTCCCCCATGGGAGATACGGAAGGCTTGACCAAACCTTTGGAATTGGGGTGATATTTGCCGCCAAGGTTGCCCAGTGACCAGTTCCCCCTTTGGGAACTCTGAACTGACTTCCTTAGCACACAGGGGATCTCCTTGAAGGCAAACCTAAAGGAGCCCGCGGAAAATCCAAAAGTCAGGCAGCTGTTCAATGTCGGACTCGCATATGTGTTTTCTTGCTGGTGCTCAGGGAACCGAGGGAATGAACCTGGGCATCCCCTCTTTCAGGGAACCATAGGGAATGGGGGATGGCTCTTTTTTCGCGGTCATTCCATTTTTCTCATTCCCTGCATCTCTCGCAAGTCTTTGCCCAACTCCGCGCCGTGACGTAGACCGGGATCCCGAAGTCCGCCAAGGCGGCCGTGTCCTGCAAGGACCCGAGGGCCCGAGGGCCCGAGAGCCGAAGGAGCGGCCGAATCAAATTCCCGGCAAATCCACCACACAGAACTCCCCTACGAAGTAACGGAAGGAACCCAAAAGGGGGGGGGTCGGGTCCAATTCCCAAAAGGAGAAATTTGTAAAGAACGAACCAGTAAGATTCCCTGGACGAATCGCTATGTCATATGATTCATGGGGATGTGCTGCTTCCCAAGCCTTGAGTGATGCTGCAGAGGTGGCTGCCGCAGAGGCCGCCAGCGCAACAGCCTAAACGCGAGCCAAGGGCTTCAACTGCCAAGTGCAACACAGAAAGGCACGTATAACACGTACGAAAGAAACAAACAGGGCGAAACGAAACGAAACAAACAGCAAGCATCAAACAAACCAAAGACAACCAGAAGCAAAGCAAGAAGACAACCACGCAAATCAGAAGAAACACAGAGCCAAGCGAAAGCAAACCAGAAGCAAGGCAAGGACAAACCAAAGCAAATTAGACGCAAACCAAAAGCAAACTTAAGCATCTAAGAAAACTAAATCAAACCAAACAAACAAGATGCAAACCAAAAACACGGCAGCACCAAAAGGCAACAAAGACAAACAAAAGCAAAACAGAAGCAGGGCAAAGACAATCCGCAACCTAAAGACAAGCCAAGCAAATCAGGAAGCAAATCAAAGACAAACCAAGCAAATCAGAAGCAACGCGGAGACAAACCAAAGAAACCCAGAAGCAAAGCAAAGACAGACCAAAGCAAACCAACGGCAAGCAAAAGCAATGACAAAGCAAACCAGAGGCAAAACGAAGACACGAAGCAGGCACACACACACAGGGCGCTTCAGCTTGTTTCGCTCTTGGCTTCCCGACAGGCCCGATGGGCCCGATCGGCATCGGCAAGGCATCGGGAAGGCCCTGGCGGCATCGGGGCCATGGGGAACTACCGAAACCAGTGCCATGCAGTCGCCTCAGATGGGCCACATGGGGGTTGGTTGGAAAGCCAAAAATAAAACAGCTTGATATGTTTATCACTAAATGGAAAAGTCACCCATGGTCATTTAGCGGCCCTGGAATATAGATCACCCCACATGCATCATACCAACAAGCGCAATGTGTGCGGCACAAGTTTACCTGGCATAGCAATGTTTAACACAGCCAGGCGTTCCAAATGATTAAACACAAATAAATAAATAAACATCTGGCCCTGGAAAATGTGCTCTGGCTTCTGAGGCTGCGACGAAGGTCATGAGGCCCTGAGCTGAGGTGCAAGCACTCGGTGTTTTGTTTTGTTGCTTTTTCTCTGGCAAAGTCCCTTTTCAAAGGAACATGGTCTTTCTGGACCCCCTGAACGTCAGGTTCCACGTCATTTGCTGGGAGGGTAAACCTACAAGGTTCCCTTGTCCCCGAAAAAGGGTTTGAAACATCACCTGTTAAAAGTTGCCTGTGCAAGTGCCTTTCCTTTTATGAGCCCTGGCTTTGGGCGACAAGACCGGCCCCTTTTTTTAGGGGACTCCCCCAAAAAGAGAGAGCGACTTCCTTTTGGCTTCCCTTAAAGACCACCCCTTTTGAGGACCGGGTCCCATGTGAATTGGAGGGTATCAATCAAAATGGGTGGTCTCTCAATCCCTTGAAGGGAAGAGCTGGAACGCTCGCTGACTGCGTCTTGCGAAAAGCTGGGGCTTCCGTCCGCCGGCGAGCTGGGGGGCGACCTCCAGCGAAGGAAACCCAAGGCCAACGACAGGTTCGTTTATCGAACCTCCCGATTGTTGGCTGTTAACTTGGGATTACCTTGGGTGCTGGCACCTCCCCTGAGCAACAAATGTGTTGTTTAACTTTTGTGCTGGTCCAATACCCACAAATCCGAACTGTGTCCCAAAAAGTTAAAGTGCAAAGATCCAACCAAATAGCCATAAAGATATGAATTTCGGGAGCTGCGAAACAACCCTAAACTCCGACGCTGGCCTCCACGACTACCCCTAATTAGTACGGCGCATCCGCAATCCCGCAGAGCGGCCGCAGAGCAGCCACCTACAACTACCTTCAGCCTGCAGACCACTTTCTTCCCCGGAACCTGGTCAATCTGAGGTTTAACCTGGTCAGAGCGGAAGGGCTTTCTCTTGCCTGACACCGGCTCACATTGTGAAGGCACAAGAACCGGCCCCCAGAACCATCAACAATCAAGAGCTGCCAGGAAACAAGAGAGGATTTACTGACTGGATAATTTAGTTGACTGACTCGCGGAGTGACTGGCCGAGTGACTGACTGACTGACTGGCTGACTGACTGGCTGACTGACTGACTGGCTGGCTGGCTGGCTGGCTGGCTGGCTGGCTGGCTGGCTGGCTGGCTGGCTGGCTGGCTGGCTGGCTGGCTGGCTGGCTGGCTGGCTAGCTGGCTGGTGGGTTTCCTTTGGATGTCGCTTTAAAACCTACCAACAAGGGTACCCTCAAAACAAGACAGGTTCAGGTTGAGCTCCTTGTGGTGTTCAGATATGAACCCTTTGTTCTTGAGGTCCGGGCAAATGAACAGTTGAACCCTCCGAACATAGTGGATTGATTTCCAGGAAATTGTTCAACAATATGCTGGCATCAAGAACAATCATTTGACAACACCCGACGTACCCATATTAAGCTTGAAGCAGAAGCCAAGCATTCCTCGGCTTGCTTTGACTGTTGCGACGCAGGCTGTTTGCCACATATTTGGAGTGGTTCTGCAAGGAGAACCTAGCCCCGTATTGTTTCTTCGGAAGGGGCACGTACTATGGAGGACAGCTATGGGATAATAGTAGGACTGAGAGCACGCGCGGACTAGCAGGATACTGTTTGAAAGGTTCCAGGCGTCCGCACGGTGTCTTGGACCACTTCTGCTTGGGCGTTGGCACGTAGCTCATCTGGCCCTGCGTTCATCTCAGCCCATGTAAGCTGCGCGGGGAAAGATCTGCTCAAAGGGAACCCTTGGGGTTTGAAATGGAAACCACAGGGAAACCGCCCATTTTGGGGTGAACAATTCTAGAGACACCATGGGGAAGGCTGGTCCTTTCGCAGAGGCGATCCGTTCCATCAGCCTGTTCTCCAAGGTTTGGGGCTGTGAGAGACACTCCCCTTGTCAAGTATCAGACTCCCAAGATCTGTAAACTCCAAGCGCAGCTTCCGAACATCTTCGTAGACCTGAAGTATGGAGAAAAACAAACAAATAAGCCTTTGAGCGCGGCGTCAACCCAGGGTCGAAACCAAAACTGGTGCCAACTTGCCCCGTGGTGTTCTCAGAACCGAATATGACCTCCACCCAAAAAAGAGCGTGGGTCACCGGGCCGGGGCCTATGGTTTAATGAAACACAGAAACTTTCACGATTGCATCTTGAGCGGAATATGCAAATCAATAAATGTTCTTGAATGCAAATGGCAGCAACTGCCTGTGCCTAGCATGTATCTAGCACTATTATGTGTACGTCCAGCTTGTATCATCTGACTAATACATACTTGTTTTTGCTTACCTGTACTCTTTGGTCAGCATATGTTTGACACTATGCCAAGGCATGTTAGAGCACATGCTTAGCAAACCTTGCGTAGCTTCAGCAAAAGCACAATCGTCCTAGCTCGGACATTATAGCTTGTGATTCGGGCACGAGCCTGTGCCCAGGCAATGGGTAAGTTGGGGTAAACAAGCCACAAAAGAAAGGTTCCCCAAAAGCAAACCAATCCCCGGTCCCAAAGATCAGGGTTTCCCACACACAAGAGAACAACAACCAAAAGGGAAAAACCTAAACAAGTAAACAAGTACCCGCAACCTTGATCGACGATGAACCGCACGGGCGGACCCCACCAATCTGCCCCGGGCCGATGTCTCTTTCTCCACCGACACGAAGGTGATCGCGGGGACCCGGCGACGCTCATCCGAGGCGCGACGGACCCGCAAACTTGAGCCAAACACCACCGGTCAGTCACTATCGCGACATCCCTGGTGATGGTTTAAGACATGGCTAATCACTAATCACACCCCCCTCACGAGGAGCCCGTCATGTGACGGGTGGAGCGTGCCATTTACTGATAGGATTTAACTGCTCGCATGTATCCGCAAACAGCTGGACACTACCGCCGTCAGCGGTGGAGCAAACCCACAAAGGCAGTTGCGCGACGTCCCGGGCATTAAAATCCCGCCACCACCCCGAATTAATCGGGGTAACGCTGTCCAACATACCTCGTGGAAAAGTCCACATGACGGCACTAGGCCACAACTGTTTGCATCAACAATGCAAGAAGTTTAATTCTTATCAGAAGCCATGAAATAAAAGATAACGTATGTCCATTAGTACCCTCGCCTATCGGCAAGAGGTACTCCTGACCATGCGTACCTGAAAAATGCTTGAATTCCGCAAACCCGGGAGTAACCCCCCATCAGTTTGCTTTCCCTCTCACTCACACTGCTCCCTGATGAACACGTCCAGCAGCCCAGCAGCGGTATGGGAGAGACATGACCTCCGCGCCTCAGCGGTCCGGGAGGAACATCACCACCTCCGCACCGCGCCGACCATTGGAGAACGGACGCAAGCCTATCGGCCGCAATCCTCGTGACTCAGCCTACCGGCTATCGTCACGTCTCCTCCGGTCACGTCCGCCCCGCGCACGGTCCCTATCACGATCCCTTTCGGATCTCCTGCGATCATCTCGCCTTCGATCCCGCTCCCGATCGAGTGAATCATCATCACGACGATCACGAGCATCGTCCCTCCTCCTGTCGCGATCATCCTCGCGCCGCGGACGATATCTGCGCCTCCTCGACTCTCTGGAATCCCTGGTGTCCACGGTCCTAACGGACCTCCGAGAAGGAGTACGGGAAACATCCGATTCCCTACGCCTCCTCCCAGATCGAGAGTTCGTCACGATCTGGTTGAGAGCCTCCAGTGCCGACGCGTCCTCACCATTCCTGATGAACTCCCTGACCTGCTTGTTCAGCACTCTGTTGGTGGAGATCGACAAGAGAGCGTCCACCACCGAACTCTCAGGCAGTACCAGGAAGTGACCCTCCACCGGGCTCGCCGCAGCCCGCTCAGCAGACTGCAGCCGGATCTCCCCGCCTTCAGGCTGCTTTGCCATCGCCTTGGAGGCAGTCAAAGGCGCTACCGCATCCTTTGCCGAAGATCTGCCAAGCGCGGAGTGAAGATCATCCCCGCTAGCGTCTCTCGCTGCCGCACCTGGTCTGCTGTCGACGTCGCCAGGCCTCGTGGATGCCTCCCGCTTTGTCGACTCCTTCGCAGCCTCGTCGGGATCCCAACGGGACTTCCTTTCTCTCTTCTGCCCTTCGGCCGACCCGCGGCTACCGCCGGGAGCGTCACCTCCGCCTGTCTTCTCCTTCTTGACCTCAACCTTCGGTTCGGCCTGCTTCGTCTCCTTAGCCACAGCTTTTGGAGCCGGAGCACTCCTCGCCTCAGATGCCGAAGCAGCCTTCCCTTTCGGCTCTGCCTTGGGAACCGGGGTCACTTTAGCCTTGGCACTCGGCCTGGCCCCTTCAACCACCATCTCGGCCCAAGACTTCTTCGGCTGAGCTGCTGCTGTATCAACCTCCATCGGAGCAGGTCCAGCATCATCCTTCGCCTTTGGGACAGATGGGCTACCGCCCTTACCAGATCCTTTACCTGGCACTTCACCTGATTTTGGTGGTGGGCCGGAAGGACTACCGCCCTTACCGCCCTTTTCCCCCTTCTTCCCTTTTCCTTTTCCGCCCTTGGGGACCGGCTCCTGCTTGGGACCAGGACCCGGCGCAGCATGATGCACCGATTGGAGTCCCTCGATGTCCACGTTCAATGGTTCGGGTTGACGACCGTCAAGAACCGTCCTCACCCTTTCGTCACTAACGTAGACGAACGGGTCACGGAAGGGTGCGGGAGGCTCCGACTGTCCGGCGCTGATCGCCTTCTGCACCTTGGCTATCGCCTCCTTCAACCTCTTCTTCTCATCGTACCCCGTCTCCGATACCATGTACTTCCTGAGCTGCGAAATCAACGCATGACTCTCCAGGATGTCCACGTCCTTTCGATGGGTCGGGTACAATGGGGTCAGATGACCAGCCGCAGAACCAATCACGTATGCCATCGGAATATAGAATGACAAGTACGTGTCATGACGAGCGAACTTCCTAACGGAAGTCGTCATACGCCTACCCCACTGAGCAGCGTGTCTTGGGTTGGCCCGGAAGTACTCCGTGACCGACTCAAATTTATCGACTTGGTTGGTCTTGATCAGGTGCTTCGCCACCCACTTCTCCACAAACGCATCCGAGGCCGAAATCCCGGACACATAGGAGAATTGGAAGAGCACCTTCGCCAGCTCATCCCACGCCGCATCGACACCTCCCTTGTCTTCACCAAGATAAGGGGGAAGTCTGATGCCACTCTGCACCGTCATCCTCAGATCGGATGCCATCGAATAGGAAATCAAATTCCTCTTGATGACTCCGACCACCTCGGAGGGAATCCTCCTGGGCTTGAACTGCCCCATGGTCCTCACCCATTCCGGCACGATGTGGCATCTTTCGAAGTCCTTTTCCTCCGCGTTGGGGATAAAGTTCGGGTAAAAGACCGGGAGCGCGCACCCGGGACACAAGTGCATCCCATTCGGCATCAATTCTGCGCACCTCAAGCAGAACGTGGCAGTCACATTCAGCCTGATCTCTTCCCGTGATCGCCTGTGCTCTCCCCTAACGGGGGTGAAGTCACCGTAGTCCCATGCCCGATGGTACACTATCGTGTAATCATCGTACATATACGCCGCCTTCCAAGCCCCCATGTGGATCTCGTTCCTAACGGCAAGAGTCTTCCTTCTCGTCAAAAACACGGGTCCAACCAAGGACCAGTGCACCCGAAGATCCACCATTACCACCACGTACCTACCGGAGTAGTTCCGCAGCCTGTCCCTGACATACCACGAAGGCGATACCTCAGCATCCGGCGCCATGGCTCCCACAAGTGGGATCAGGCCCTCATCCTGCCTACCATCCCCAATGGTCTCGTACACATCGGGCCTCGTGATCAATATCTCGATCATGGCCTTTCCATTTCGCCTCACCCTTTGGAGCTGAACCGCCTTCCGAAAGTCCGAGAACTTCATGATGACGTATCCCACCATGGGGAGTTCATTCCAATGCATCTCATACATCAGAGATCCGCCAGGTGCATCTTCCTGAGTATACCTGTGCCTAACGGCACTGTAACTCAAGTCGCGTCCGATCCGCGTGTGCCTAACGGCAACCAACCTGGTGCTCTCCTTGAGGAGAACGCCATCCCCGTCGTACATGACCATGAGCATCGCCTCCACTTGCCCTATCGGGAAAGCTTTAAGCGTCGGAATGAAGAACTTCCAAGACATCTCAGCGTTCTCCATGCCCGAAATCTCCTTCAGGAACCAGATGGCCTGGTCACTTTTCACCCAGTTTCCAGCCTCGCGTCCGGTCTCCTTCAGCACACGTTCCTCAAATAACTCCGAGACTCTCTTTGAATTGATGACCAAGCCGTCGAAATCGCACGAGAGCAGTCTCATCAACTCCTTCGCCGCCTCCCGTCCTGCAACAGTGCCCACGGTCTCCTCGTAGTTCGGGAGGTATTCACCCAACCTCGTCTTCGAGGGAACCACAATCTGGCAAGTGACGGCCTCATCAGGGATAACTCCCGTTTCCCTTAACTCTGGATTGATCTCTCGCCTATCGGCAAGATAATCCTCCTTCCCATCCAGTATCACAAGATTGTAGGTCATCTTGCTCGCCGCCCCACTAGGCCTGAACTTCCTGCTATCATCCAACTGGTCAGGAGCAAAGGGTCCACTAGGGGCGGCCGCACTCACCAGAGGCGCTCCGCCCAGAGCAGAGGTGCTTCTTGTGAAAATTCACCATCTGATTCAGCTGCGA